CGGTTGTTCAACTGAGAAGTCTGATTAAAATTTGTATTCATTGGAATCCATGCCCCCCGAAGAGGACGGCAAAGCAGGAAATCTAGAGTACAAAAGGAGGAGGAGGGGGTGATGATGAATGGAATGGGGCTGTAATCTCACTAGCTTTAACTGCTGTTTCTGGCAAGGCCTTTAATTAACACACAAAGGCGTGTTAGCAACAAATTGGGACACGTCCATATAACATGGGGGGCTATAACGCCACCAAGCGAGATCCTAAACTGAGTAGTTTAAAACGTCTGTGTGGCATTTGGGGTAAAGTTAATGGCATTTACTATCTTTTTTTTTTTTTTTTTTTACACCCAAGTGAATTTACAGAGCGAGCTTTCAAATGCCATTCAACGGCTACATAGGGAGGGATCTACTTCGGCTCAACAAGTAGAAGTAATGGCCGGCAATCCTCAAGTGTGAGAAAGTGTTTTGTAGAAACGACTTAAGTTCACAGTGGACCAGACCAGCTGTGCCCAGGCCCTGGTCAACCCCACCACAAGGAGTTGGGAGAGTCATAAAACAGGACCACCTCACCTAACGAGTGGGGCTCAGCAATTCCACAGGTCATGAAATTAGCACACAGAAACTAGCATGCAGTCCACCAGGGCTGCAACTTGATTGTTATACAGTTTTGCTTGGTCAATGGTTAGGAGTATAAAAAGGTAATTTGCTCAAAGAAACAAGTTGTTAAATGCTCATCAAAATGTCCAGAGCCCAAAGTGATGTTGCTTCTTTTGTCAAACCAACAGTTGAAAAGTCAAGACTTCCCATTGACATTTCACCGAAATCAATTCTTAAAATATTTGGTGATCTGTTTTGTTTGAATCGTTGTAGTGAACATAAAATGTTGTCAAGTCTTCAAGACCAATTTCTACTTGAAAACTTCTGTTGTTTTCCTCCAGCATGGATGACAGCAAATGTCCGAATACAAAAGAGGCGACAGGAAAGACATTCCAGAGAGGTGCACTGCTGTCTCTGTGCTGTCTAATCACGTGTGTCTTGTTCTCCAGAGGCCATCCTCCACATTACACTGTCTCTGAAGATGAATGCAAAATCATAAAGGAACGTGGCTCGAACTCCAATCCATCACTGTCAGAATAAGACGACAGAGCAAACATAGGGACAACATGGATGAATTACTTGGCGGTACATCAAGGCCAACAAGACCTGCCTGTACTGAATATCTGAAAGGGACACACGGCTAAATCCATAACAGAATACTTGCAAGTTAGTCCGATTAGATTGAAGAGATATTTCCAGATAAAAGAACCATAAACCTGTTTTCTGTAGTCAACAATTAAAAAGACTGTGACGATAAACCAACACTGCAAACTGTACAACATCCCTGCAGAAACACGATACTAAGCATGTTTTCCGACATGTGCTTGCATCCAAATTTCAATGGATCAACAGCGTCATTTTGTTCGGAAATAAAGCTACAGATGTATTGCTCACTGAGAATAGTCAGCTTGTTTTTTTTTTGTCATTATTTATAAACCTCAAAATGCCAAACTTTTGGAAGGGCTTCAAAGTAACGTGCATTGCGATTTGTGGTTAACAGGTTAAAACCTGCACACCCTCTTCACTTAACAGACAATCTTCTCCCTTTTCTTCGCCCTTCCTGGAGTCTATTATTTGCTTTCTGCTCTTGCACCCTGCCCCTGGTATTCTCAGATTTCTCCCCACATCACTCACCACTATAAGAGAAGCACAAGTGTACTGGATGCACAGCTTTGGATGTCTGTCCCTCTTTCTAGTTCAGCTGTTGTTGTTGTTGTTTTTTTTTTTTTTTTTTTACCCTTTTTTGTCAACTTCTCTTTTAGAAAAAATGCCTTGTGAAATAAAAAATGATTTCATGATTCGGTAATATACAGAAAAGGTGTAAAAAATAATAATAATCCACAGGCACATTTTATGAACTCAATTAATGAGGTGGTAAATAGGTTAAAGGTGAGTTGTGTGTGTGTGTTTGATCACACTGAGTAAGATGAACAAAGTGTATCAGTGACACAGGTGGCATTCTGATTGGATGCTGTGGAGGACATTCAATCAAAACTTCTGATCCAACATTAAGAATTGAACCTTTTTAAACACAAACATTGCTGGTTAGTGACCTAAAGTTAAATCTAACACACTAATAGATTATTTACTTAAAAACACATACCACAGAATTTCTACCCCCCCCGAAGAGTTTACACTAAAGAAAGTAAAGAAGCACATAGGCTATAGAATCAAGTATGTGTGGCTAAATGTGTCATTTTTGCATATTGCTGTAAAAAAAAAAATAAAAAAAAAAGATTAGCAGGATTGAAATTAAAGCACATATGAATTGAAATTCAAAGCCTCTCTTCCTTTTTTTTGGGGAAAAAATAGACTGCAGTTTTAGTAGACTTAAGGATAAAAAAAAAGTTTGAAGCCCCTGTAGTGACCGCAAATAAACTATTTATTACTGGACAATACATGCAATAGAAGTTTTTACCCTCAACTGAATAACAACTGATCAAATGAGGACATGATTTGAAGTTCAGTGGGGGGGGGTGAACTGGTGCAAGGTAAAATAGATAAATAAGGCTGCTAACGGGAGGCTATACTTACAGTGTGACTGTCCTGTTGGGGAAAGAGTCGGAGGTAACACCTGATGGAGCTCCATGTTGCTGCACACCACCTTTCGGTCGGACTGCGGGCTTTTCCCACCGCTTTTCGGCCGTTCATCATATGATTTGCAATCAGATGATGCCGCCGAGCCTGCGCCGCCACGGAGCAGCAAAACACAAACAACTGCAACAGATCCACCCTCATTTTCACACACGACCACGGAACGCCGCAGCATTGGCAGAGAAATATTATGTTTTGACACTCAAAAAAGGGGGGGGGGGCAGATACTGTACAGCTCTGCTATTTAAAAAAAACAAGATATCCAGACCCGGCTAGAGACATTTTCCAGCATCTTGTTTGGGCTCAACAGAGCCGTACCTCCTCCATTTCTCGCAAGCTTTCCCTTTTGCCCGGTCAGACAGAAAGAGGAGCCCTTTGTTTGCAAACGACTCCCTTTTAATTCCCTTCCCATGCTGAATGGTGTTCATTCTCTGCAACTCCTTCAAGCCAACGCGTTTAAACGCTGCGTATGCTGGGCTGGCTGGTGAATAACTTATCCAGTAGTTGAGCGGGTTCCTTTGTCACTCATGGCGTGGACCGACTCACAGAGTTATCTTTTTCCACGGGAGGCGGCTGCTGTAATCCCAATTTTTTTTTATCCGTGTGGAACTTCATGAAACACAGGTTTCTTTTTCAAAACGCACACTTCCATCTCCCTGTACTTTGGACGCGTCGAAGACCAAACAAGAGGGGAGGAAACTTTTCTCCTCTCTTCTTTCCCCACACCGACAGGAAATCACTCAGGGAAGGGAAAACAAAAGCGATACAACAACAGAGTGTTTTCAGGTTCCGACTGCGCTACAAATGCTCGAGAAAAAACAAAAGTCAAGAGCTCTGCGTTGTTAGAAAAAACAAAGTATCCATGTAGTTGCTGTTTCTCTTCAGCTCTCACTGAGTCTTCGTAAAGTACTCAAAGCTAGTTCCCAATCCGTTGGGAAGTCCTCCTCCCATGGTCCAGCCCCACTGTTGTGAAGCCACAGATAGGATAATTCACACACCATATCCGGTTTCCACTTCAGAATAAAACGCTCTTTCTTTGCTTTATTTCCGGTTTTCGATGTGAAAGTTGCTTTAAATTGCTACACGAATCAAATTCTTCTATCTGAGCTGCTAGGCAAAGGCCCACTTCTCCTCGAGGGTATAGTTCGTTTATTTACCCTACACAGGTTTACCCTACATTTAGGCTTTCTCTTTCTCTCTGATCATTTTGAATGTAAAATCTGCATGAATATTTTTTTATTTAATTTTAAAGGCCTACTTCCTACAATTCTACAATTCTACAATTCTACCTACTACTTCCCAATGTTCATTTGGTAGCCCCTACTCACACTGTGTCAATTCTTCTGAAGGCTTCACTTAACAGCTGTGTTTTATAATGTTTCCAAAAGGTTGTGTCTGAGAGGACATTTAGCTGATATGTTCTGCCTTTGGCAATCAATCCATTTTCTTTGTTATGATCCAGTCAAGTGGATCACTTTGTTCAATAGGAAAAACGACCTGGGCATAGAACTGAAGTGATTACAGGTCAGGGAGCATATGCCCTTAAGCTGTAATGCTTTCACCTTCACTCTTTTTATTTATTTTTTTGTCCACACAAATACAGGATGTCACATGCAGGAACTTAAAGCTGATAAACAAGTTGTGTTTTGCTACTTTAACTCCGATAGATCATCACAGCGTATGAGAGGATTAAGTATTCTGAATAAAATAGATTCCACAACATTTAAAATGTTTTTAAATATCAGTGTGCACACGTCTTTACACTTTTCCCATATGAACACATGAGCTCAATAGAAGGTAATCTCTTTTAAATCATGGATGACAATTATTGTTTGTTTTGTTGCCTAATTATTGAGCCTATTACTACAGTAAGTTAGTTATTTCCATAATACTTTGTTTCATATTATTGCCGTGCATAATGCAAATTGTGACATATGCCTTCTTCAGTATTATGCTATATTATAATATAATAGATCATCTTTTTTTATTATTATATCGTCGTTTTATTTATGCTCGAAAACAAGTCAAAAGTCACAAAGTGGTCCGTGCACGCAGCTCCTTTACGTTTACAAACCTGAGATTGTTTTCCAGTTATCGCGTTATCACCATAGACTGTAAGGTTTACACCTACACGCACTCACGCACGCGCGTCATCAAACACCATGGTAACAACCAACCGAGGCTATATAAGGACCGCAGACCGTTCAACTTTCCCCCTTTTGCAATTGAACTTTGACGAGAGTTGACCTTTTGCAAGACCTTGCTGGAAAGCTAACTATTTAAAAGCGCTGCATCAATATCTTCTCCAAGAACACTTCTTCTAAAACAACAGGAAAGAAAAGAACTTCTTGGACTCAGTGGGACACCTATCGGGGTCACCAAAGAGCTCGGAGATCACCTTCAGCGGACCGGTGATGGACGAGGAGCACCTGTCCGCCCAACACTTGTCTGACAGCGGTGGAGGTATTTCAAATGTGACCTTTTTTTTTTTTAATCATTGACATTTCACTGATTAATTTATTAATCTCCATAAACGCTCTGACGTTTTATCAGTCAAACCTTTTTTTAAATGTGAGATTTAAAGTCGAGAGCTCTCATGATGTTATTAGGGCCTCAATGAAAAAAACAAATGTTTGGTGAACTTTGATTTTCTCGCTGTTTTTCCTGTGTAAAAAAAACCTTTTGATTGCTGTAATGTCTGAATACTTAGCGCGCCAATTGTGGACTCAATTAGGAAGTGTCGGGGTGATTTGAAATACTGTTATTTTGGTTTAAGAGCAACAATTTTGTTCGGAAATTAAACATAAATTATCTGAAAAAGATGGCGACCAAGCCAAATTTTGTAAAATGCTAAATATATTATTTAGTTTTGCACCATGGAGACCATCATTCGGGAGATCCATGACGTCAGAACGTCAGTGTCAGTAACTAGGCACGTTCTTATCTCAGTACGTTTGTTTGATGTGGAGATAATATTAAATTATCTTGTGCTTTTATTTTCAAGCTGTTCTCATTACATCAAATTACGATCATGGGTTTTATATTCATTTAGGCCTACTATATTTGAGTTCAATGTCATAATTCATGCTTTCAATTGCGATTTTTTTATTAAATCAAATTGAATCAAATTTGATACAGTGGCCTATCAAATAGTCCCTTCTTCCTATTAAAGCTCTGAGCTGGTTGGAGATTCTTCTAAGTAGACTTTATTTTGCCTATTTTTAGAAAATCCTAGAATTGTAACATTTGTCAGTGTTATGTTTGTTTATCCATCATGTATGTAAATCCACCAGTAAAACAGGACTAATCTATAAAAGGCTTAAAAAAATGACCAGATTGTAGATTTCTAGTTTATAACCTGGGTCTTCTGACGTATATATATATATATATGAACATCCTTGTATGTATGTTTCATAAAGTGTTGCATGAACGCAGCTTAAAAAAATCATCAAAGTAGAGCGTCACAATATTTTGTATCACTGTTAAAGGGCCTAAGGTTTGTGGCTGGTTTGGGATTGTTTAGGCTGCAATCTTAGTCAGTATACAGACAAATGAAGTGCTTACTTTACACAGATGTTGTTATTTAATCAGACGTTGTTACATTTTGGAATCAGGTATACTGATGCTTTATTTTTGTCTCCCTCAGTGGTACGTCCTGACGGCCTCCCCGAGATGATCAGCATCAGGATCGTGGACGACGATGATTCTGAGGTAGAGGTAGGTATACCAGAGGACACTCCCCCAGTGTCCTCTGGTGATGGAGAGGAAGTCATCTGGGTCTTGGATGACGAGGAGGAGGACCAGGTAGAGGTAGGTATACCAGTGGACATTTTTTCAGTGTCCTCTGGTGATGAGGAGGAAGTAATCTGGATTTCGGATGACATGGAAGCAGAGGAAGAGGTAGGTAGACCAGGGGACATTTCTCCAGTGTCCTCTGAGGATGAAGATGAGCATGAGGTGAGCGGACAGGAGCATGAAGAGGAGAACGAAGAGGAGAGGGGACAGGAGCATGAAGAGGAGAGTGAAGAGGAGACTGAAGAGGAGACTGAAGAGGAGAGCGAGTATGAGGAGGACTTTTCAGACTCGTTCAGTGAGGATTCTGGGTACGAATCCATGTATGACTCTGAAGAGGACCTCGAAGATGAAGCTGAAGAGGAGGACAACAGATCTTTCTCCCCTTTGGACCAGCAGATACCGGAGGATTTCTACCAGAGATGGCAGCAGGTGTCTCCTCCTGTTCCTGATGCTCCTCCTCAGCTGCTGACTGTCCGACATCCACAGGAAGAAGATCCTACCTCACCTTCAAGATCAGAAGATAGTGCTCCCTCAACCTCAGGCCTCAGCTCCTCCACCAAGAGGAGCAGGGAGGAGATCCTCACAGAGCAGGTAAGTAGTAAGAGGCCCAGGTGTGACTGTGAGGAGAGTGCTCCCTCAACCTCAGGCCTCAGCTCCTCCACCAAGAGGAGCAGGGAGGAGATCCTCACAGAGCAGGTAAGTAGTAAGAGGCCCAGGTGTGACTGTGAGGAATGCTACGAGGAGAGTGCTCCCTCAACCTCAGGCCTCAGCTCCTCCACCAAGAGGAGCAGGGAGGAGAGCTACACGGACTCCACTCCATCCACCTCAGGCTCCTACAGAAGAAGAGGATTCTGGGAGTATCCCCCTGTGGTTGATGACAGTGATTCTGATTTGGATGACAGCCCTGATTCCACCTCTGCAGTAGAAGAGGAAGCCAGACCAGGGGACATTCCTCCAGTGTCCTCTGAGGATGAAGATGAGGATGACGTGATCGAAGAGGAGAGCGAAGAGGAGTATGAAAAGGAGTATGATGAGGAGTATGAAGAGGAGTACTATGAGGTGTATGGAGAGGAGAGCGAAGAAGAGTGGGAAGAGGAGTACTATGAGGTGTATGGAGAGGAGAGCGAAGAAGAGTGGGAAGAGGAGTACTATGAGGTGTATGGAGAGGAGAGCGAAGAAGAGTGGGAAGAGGAGTACTATGAGGTGTATAGAGAGGAGAGTGAAGAAGAGAGCGAAGGAGAACGCAAACAGGAGTTTGAAGCGGAGAGTGAAGAGGAGAGCGAGGACGAGAGGGAACAGGCGACCGAGGACGAGGGTGAGGAGGACTTCTCAGGCTGGTTCAGGGAGGATTCAGGGTATGAGTATGACTCTGAAGAGGACCTCGAGGATGAAGATGAAGAGGAGGACAACAGATCTCTCTCCCCCTTGGACCGGCAGTTCCCGGAGGATTTCTACCAGAGATGGCAGCAGGTGTCTCCTCCTGTTCCTGATGCTCCTCCTCAGCTGCTGACTGTCCGACATCCACAGGAAGAAGATCCTACCTCACCTTCAAGATCAGAAGATAGTGCTCCCTCAACCTCAGGCCTCAGCTCCTCCACCAAGAGGAGCAGGGAGGAGATCCTCACAGAGCAGGTAAGTAGTAAGAGGCCCAGGTGTGACTGTGAGGAGAGTGCTCCCTCAACCTCAGGCCTCAGCTCCTCCACCAAGAGGAGCAGGGAGGAGATCCTCACAGAGCAGGTAAGTAGTAAGAGGCCCAGGTGTGACTGTGAGGAATGCTACGAGGAGAGTGCTCCCTCAACCTCAAGCCTCAGCTCCTCCACCAAGAGGAGCAGGGAGGAGAGCTACATGGACTCCGCTCCATCCACCTCAGGCTCCTACAGAAGAAGAGGATTCTGGGAGTATCCCCCTGTGGTTGATGAGGAGACCACAGGAGTATGAAGAGGAGTATGAAGAGGAGTATGAAGAGGAGTATGGAGAGCAGTATGGAGAGCAGTATGGAGAGGAGTTTGAAGAGGAGTATGAAGAGGAGTTTGAAGAGGAGTATGGAGAGCAGTATGGAGAGCAGTATGGAGAGCAGTATGGACAGGAGTATGGAGAGGAGTATGAAGAGGAGTATGGAGAGTATGGAGAGCAGTATGAAGAGGAGTATGGAGAGCAGTATGGACAGGAGTATGGAGAGGAGTATGAAGAGGAGTATGGAGAGTATGGAGAGCAGTATGGAGAGCAGTATGGAGAGCAGTATGGACAGGAGTATGAAGAGGAGTATGAAGAGGAGTATGGAGAGTATGGAGAGCAGTATGAAGAGGAGTATGGAGAGCAGTATGGACAGGAGTATGGAGAGGAGTATGGAGAGCAGTATGGACAGGAGTATGGAGAGCAGTATGGAGAGCAGTGGGAAGAGGAGTATGGAGAGGAGTATGGAGAGGAGTATGGAGAGGAGTGGGAAGAGGAGTATGGAGAGCAGTATGGAGAGGAGTATGGAGAGCAGTATGGAGAGGAGTTTGAAGTGGAGAGTGAAGAGGAGAGCGAGGACGAGAGGGAACAGGCGACTGAGGGCGAGGAGGACTTCTCAGGCTGGTTCAAGGAGGATTCTGGGTATGAGTATGACTAGGTGTGCTACTTCCACTTCAGGCCTCAGCTCCTCCACCAAGAGGAGCAGGGAGGAGAGCTACACGGACTCCACTCCATCCACCTCAGGCTCCTACAGAAGAAGAGGATTCTGGGAGTATCCCCCTGTGGTTGATGACAGCTATTCTGATTTGGATGACAGCCCTGATTCCTCCAGGAAGTGAAAAGTGGAATCTTTTTGTCTGGCAGGACTTTTCAAAGCCCCAGAAACCTTTTCCACATGTCTTGCAGACAATGCTGTTAGGCCACCTTATACCTGCAAGTACTGTACAAGCATTGGGCACGTTTTTTGATAGTTTAAATCAACTTCTGGAATAGTGCAGACTCAGAGATAGTTACTCTTTCTTACTTTGTTATGTTGTTGTGTATTTGTCTATGTACGGTCCAGGTGGCTATACCAGACAAAGGTAAGGTAATATTTAATAACAATAGTTTCTAAAGACGGCTGATAATTCCATGCACAGGTAATTAAACACTGTTTATTGTCATCACTGTGTTGCACGTAACCATGTTTTATAAATAAGGTGTAGGTGACTAGCAGACAGAGGTAAGTTTATACTGCCTAACATTAGGAATCTGATGTTCATATCCACTTTCTTTTTTAATGTTGTCTTTAGCCACTTAGTTATACTGTTGTTTGTTTGCTTCTCAGGTGTACCAACCCCCCCCCCCCCCAAGACCAGACGATGGAGAAGGCCAAGACTCAACACCCAAGATTCCCATGGCGACAGAAGACGTGTTTACTCCAGAGCAGATGTGAAGGATGGATGACTACAGGACCAGCTGGAGAGCGATGGGCACCTTGCTGTCACACAGCAAAGTAAGTGCTGATAAACTTAAGATGACTTTATGTGTATTCTTTTTATTATAGGTAAAGACATCATGCAAAGGTTGTCATACTATGTCCACACTAACACATGTCTTATGATTCTTTTTCACAGGGCAGGACTCCTCTGTGTTTCCAGTGTTCCTGCATGGGGCATCTATGAATGGACAACCAATCATTCCTCCAGAAGCCTCAGAGACCCACAAGCCCCTCCTCGTCGGCCCCACCAACCCAAACCCCTCAACACCACCCTCTTCTCTCTTTCCATTTTTAAAATCTTTAAAATAAATAATATTTGTGTGCCATAAATTATCTTGTTTGTTTTAAGTTCATAGTTGAAAGTTTAATTATAAACTAAGTGAATGTACAGTAAATATTATATGTATAACTTACTGATCTGATATCTAACTGTACAAGTTTTAAACAAGGGTTCATTAAGCAATTTTCAGACTCTGAAAATACTAAACAAGTTAAGTAATTGTCACAAACAGTTCTATATCACAGAGTCAAAAGGTGAATATAAAATTGCTATAGGGCATTCTCTGGCCTTAAAATAATTTCTAGATTATACTTCACTGAAAAAGGAAAACTAATAAATGCATTTTTGAGGAAGCATGGAGGAATTCTGTGGATGTCAGCGAGAGATGTTCAACTCAAGGAGTCCCATTAGATATGTTCAGAAGTTCCAGTTCAGCACTGAGTTTCATGAGGAATAAAGTGTCAAGCTGCATGCACTAATAAAACAAAACACTGGCAAATGCACAGATAGAGACAGCACAGTAAACGAGCCCTTACCATCTTTTCAGTATAGTGTGTTCCAGGCTATTTTTCTTTTGCAATATTATGAAGTCAAAAAATAGATGCATTCTCAAGAGGAAAGACTGTGATATTTTTTGACAAAAATATCCAACTGAAAATATTATCACGCAGGACTGCAGCTTTTAGTGCTGCTTTTGTGCTGCTTTCAAGTGCTCCCGCGTAAATTTGAAACCACACATTCAGTACACAACTTTCAGGGGAGAATTGGTAGACTTAACCTTGTAACTAAAGTAGTTTTCGATTCATATTTTATCCAAAGCGTTTGCGTCATTCTACCCACAAAGTAGTAAAAAAAAACCCAAAAAACTGATTTCACCTTCACTTGTAAGATGTGCTGAACTTGAAAAACGCAACGGCCCCTGAATGCCTCATCGTTTCTCTTTCCTGGTCGCAGAGAAAACTCATTACGACTTGCATTCTAAAGATTACGCGCAGTAACGACACGTGTGGACCAATATTTACAGTCTATGGTGTAAACGTAGGATTTTGATGAAGAAAATACACAGTAGCCTTACATAGTCGACATTTGAACTACTTTGATTCAGTGTTCAAATATGTTCCCTCGTGACTTTGCGTGGGGAGCAGGAACTGCTGCGTATCAAATAGAAGGTATGTAGGAGAATGAATTATAATTGCTTAATTGTTGTTGTTTAGTGGCGCAACAGGAAACGGTGCCATTGTGTCTGACCTGTGCAGAGATCCGTGGGCTACCAAACGCCCCCACAACAAAGATCTCAGTTCAAGTCTACTTTTTAAAACTTTCTGTGTTTGTTAAGTTCACTTTTTCAATTTGCCTAACTGTTCTGCAATGGCTGATTCAAATGTGCGTCACACTACTTTACAAATAAATAAATAAATAAAAAATCACCCCACTCTGGCCACCTGAACGTCATAAGTTGTATTGTTGCAAAACACAGGCCCGGTGTCATGGGGGGGGCATTTATGATCTATGCCCCCCCAAATGAGCCCCCAACCTACAGGACAAGCTCTTGACAAATAAAAAATAATAAATTGTATTTCACTAATTATTTAGAAAGAGAAAATATCATGTTGGTGATAGGCCTATGCCTTAGATTGCATTATTCTGTATGTGGGAAAAGATGCTAAATGCAAAAGAAATGTTAAGTTCAGTTACAACTATTACAAGTATGACCCTTTACCATCGGAAAATCAGAACATCCAAAAGACTGTAGGAGTTAAAGGTCAACTTGAGCTTGCTCCTCTTTCACGCTAATGAAGAACTGACAACCCTTATCAAACATAGCAGAACACAATTACTGCAGATTAGAACAAATCATTCAGTAAAACAGCTTAAGATAAAGTCACAATATTTTCAGTGAATTCCACATAGTAAGTCCCGTTAGAAAACATTTACTGTAATTCTTCTCGTGTCAACATCCTTCATCGTTTAATGAAATAACAAATATTTGATGTGCATGTCAAGGTGGCTGGCAGGCAGACAGCAAGGGACCAAGTATCTGGGACACATTTTGTCACGAGAAAGGCAAAGTGTTTGGGGACCAGAACGGAGATGTTGCCTGTAACAGCTACGAGCTGTGGGAGAAGGACCTGGAGTGTATCCGGAAGCTGGGACTAACGCACTATCGCTTTTCGCTTTCCTGGTCCCGCCTCCTGCCTGAGGGGACCACACGACATGTCAATCAAAAAGGTACTTCCATATCCCTCATTGACCAGATTGGCAGCCATTTTCCGCTGACATCATGCCATGGTAGCGAAATCTCAAATGATTTTTTTTTTATGTCAGACTGCTGGTAAGTTGTTTGTTACCCACTAGTTATTTCACTACTTCCTTCCTAACATTACAGTTTGGGAATAAGGCCCTTCCTTTTGTAATGTACAAAACAATCAAAAGGTAAGTTAGCATTCAGACATACTTCTAGCTATATAGCTATCAGCTAGGAAGTGACTTGATGATTACATTTAGCTTTTTGATGGTAGCTAATTTGTTATAAAATATGGCCAAATGTCCGATGAGATTTTCTTTTTACATTTAGTTTCTTTGTCAATCAGGAAATGGTTGATGATCCGGATTCGCCTGATTCCCTGTGTTTATACAAAGGTCAACATAAAGACAAAGCACTACGGCAATAAAACAGCATTTGTGCTTTCCATCCCCGAGCGTAATGATAGGTGAAAATGGCCGCCCTGTGAATGTGTGAAATAAGACCAATGAACTTTCTTAATCCAAAACAACCAAATGGAACAAGCTTCTTTTAGACTATTTTACCAAACTACAAAGCACTGTTCATCTTTTCAACAGGTGTGCAGTACTACAATAAGGTGATTGATGATTTGCTGGCCTGCAATGTATCACCTATGGTCACTCTTTACCACTTTGACCTGCCTCAAGCTCTGCAGGACCAGGGTGGCTGGAAGTCCCCAAGTACAGCGAGCCTGTTTGACAGCTATGCCAAATTTTGCTTCCAAACGTTTGGTGACCGAGTCAAACTGTGGATCACCATCAACGAGCCTTATGTTTGCGCCAAACTGGGCCATGAAGATGGCATCCATGCGCCAGGGTTAAAAGAACCTGGGACTACGGCCTACCTTGTTGGCCATAACATGTTGCGTGCCCATGCCATGGCTTGGCAAAGCTATGACTCCCTATACAGGTCGAAGCAAGGAGGTCAGGTTTCTCTGGCCATCAACAGCGACTGGGTTGAACCATTTAGCACAGATTGCAATGAGGATATCGCTGCCACTGAACGCTACCTCGCATTCAGCCTCGGGTGGTTTGCTTGGCCTGTTTTTGTAACCGGAGATTACCCAGAAATAATGAGATCTGCCATTGATGCTCAAAGTAGGAAGTTGGGACACAAAGACAGCTCAAGACTGCCCAGTTTCTCCAAGGATGAACCCTCCGTTTTGGGCACAGCTGACTTCTTTGCGTTGAACTACTATACGTCTCGGAAGGTAAAGCCAGGAGGAGGCTGTGGAAGGATGATGTGCATGAAGAGCGACAGGGATGCAGCAGAAGTTTTGGATCCGTCCTGGCCTATTTGTGGTGTGTCCTGGCTTGCCGTGGTGCCTGATGGTTTAAGGAAACTTCTTAAGTACATCAAGGTAAATCTTCAACTACTGATTCATCTTGAAGGTTCATTTTCTGCCTTACAAAGCCCAAACAAGGTGTAAACATCACCTTTATTTTGGATGAAAATTGGATGAAGTGTGATAGAATGTAAAGACATTTTTCTTATTTTCTTGGCATCAAACTGAATCGAGCAACAAGAAGACAAATCACCTGCAACCAAACAACACTCTGACATTTGTTTAGTGTCTTGCTATCGATTTTCTATGCAGTAATCTCCTTTTAACACCTCCAGAAACAAATTGATGCTTCATTAGTGCTGTCACATTGAATGAAACTGTTACTTTGCTGAAAGTGTTTGCAATTGCAATTTCCTGCTGTTGTGACTTGTCACAGGCCATTAGTTTAAGCTTGGCACCCAGAAATGCAGCTAAACGGCACATTGTAGACCGATCTGTCTCCCTCTGGAATGTCTGACAGCTGAGAAGCCTTGTTTGATGGTAATATTTGCCCCCTGACTCTGCAGGACACGTTCAACAATCCAACAGTCTACATTACGGAGAATGGCTTCTCACAGCTCGGGCCGGTAGAAATTGAAGATGTTCAGCGTGCAGAATTTTACAAGGACACCATCTTGAAAGTTGCTGAAGGTAAAATCTAGTGAAAATGAAATAAACTTAAGTGGGAAGCCAATTTTGAATTGAATCAATTTTTGTGTTATGTCACAAATGTAATATTTGTGTTTGTACAGATTGTACCTAAGTAAAATACTGCTAACAGGAGCCTTGTATACCTTCCCTCCTCTCTTATGAGAATACAGTTTTTCTTATTTTCTGGGAATACTTCTTTTTATTCTTTAGGTTCTTCACACATGACTGACAAAACCACAAGGTGCGCATGAAAGGCATTTTTTTAGAAACTTTACATAAAGTTCAGTTTATTTGGATGACATTTTGGCTTAAACATTACGAAAGAACTGAATTGATTAAATTCAAAATTGATAACCACAAAACCATCATGATGTGACAGAAAATCTGTCTGTGCCGTCTATTTCCGTTATTCATGGAAAAAAAAAAAAAAAAAAGACACGCACTTCACTCAGTGGGTGCTGGATCCAAAAACACACAGGTAAACAAGATCTGCACACCAAGAAGCTCCCGTTTGAAGGATTCATTCACAAGTTTGACGTTTGAGCCAACATGCTCTTCCTCAGACTACTTCATTTAAACATGACTTATTCCTGAAAAAATAAGAAAACTTGTTAAAATTCTGTTTTATTGTCAGACCCGCAATATAAAGCCAATATAGCACATATTTAAAGTCTGCGTTTTGGCACCACCTTTTGGCCAATTTGTGTTTTTTTTTTTTTGCAAGTAATGAAGCACGTTATCAGCCAAAGTCAGGAGCTCCAGCCTTCTTGGTTTGTATGACGGCACAGCAGATATTTAAAACGCAATAAGGACTAATATACAGTTGTTGTTTTTGTTTTTTTTTAGCCTTTTAGGGTGCCCATGCTGCACTGTAAAAAAGACTTCTGTTCTGTTCTTCTGGAATCAAACTTATATTTACTCAAATGGTCGAGTCCTTTTTTTTCAATTTAACTCTCTGTGTTTTATGTGTAGCGATACAGGAAGATGGGGTCAGAGTCCGTGGATATTTTGCATGGTCGCTGCTGGACAACTTTGAGTGGGCTGATGGATTCAGTGTTCGCTTTGGATTGTTCCACGTGGACTTTGCTGATGAAATGCGAAGCCGAACCGTGTACCGGTCTGGACAGGAGTACGCGAAGATGATCTTGAAACACAAGCTGGGTAAGTGAAGATGAGAAGAAGGGAGAATAAAAGACGACCAATAAATAAGAAGTTTTTGAAGTGTCTTTTTTTTTTTTTGTTCCACTGAATAAGATGAAACCAAAACCGACAAGGCCTCCGCTTTTCTTTCACTGAAGAACAATAAGTTACTCGGCTACTTTCTCTGCCTGGCTTTAACTCCAACAAATGGGCTTGGTTGCCTTATTTAGAAAATTTGACTTCAGCAGGGCGAAGTGAGGACATGAGCGCAGAGTTGTTTCAATGGAATCCAAATTAGTATTCTGTCCTGCTGAGCTCCCAGTCAGACTGCTCAAGAGGTTTATGAAGAGGGGGGACTTCCTCACAGCTGTAAGACCAAGCTGTTAGAGCCACCTCTCGAGGCTGCACAAGGATATGTATACATGCTTTGTATTTGTACAGAATAAAGGGCAAAATGCATGGTGGTTTCAGCCTGAATAGAAGCATTGTAATGTGCCTGTGTACTTGCATGCAATCTACCAGTGTAGGTGTCATGTGACGCGCTACTGCTGTCCATCGACGATTTCTAAGAGCTTATCGTCTCCTTAAATCTTCCTGTGAGAGTCGGATGAATGTGTCTTTGATACACAGCTACCATGACGGGCTTGAAAAACACACACACACAGTATAATACCTTGCATTGTGCTCTGGAGGTTTTATGTTGACTGGAGGGTTCAAATCTGTCAATGTAGTGATGCAGAGAGTAATCCAGGGGAAAAGTCGATGCCTACACATGGTCTGCAGGGATAAAACTTTCACTTAGTAAGGACAAAGACGTGTGATAAATGAAGACACACATGGTTAAGAATAAAAAAAAAAGGTGCCTCAGATGTATTTGGAATAAAGGTTCTGATCAAAACAGTTACATGGCTTCTTTGTAAATGTTAACATGGAGGAAATAAAATCACATATCATGCAGTCTATTTTTTTTCGCCCTTTGTCATATCTTTCACTGAACTCCTGTTCCACCTTTGACCTTTTACCCAAAAGAAGCAAAAAAGTCAACTTTGTATTTATAATGCTGTCAGGCTGCACAAAGCACACTCCAGTAAGTTCAGACGGGATGCCAGCTGAAAGCAACAGATGTCCTGCCACAGGAAGAGAGGTTTAATGCCATTTGTGTTCCCCCGGACAGCTGCACAAACTCTATACTTAAAGAATGAAAAGAGGTAAGAAGGTGAAAAGGGTTTCTGTTGATTCTTTGTGCATACTGTGGTTAAGGTAAGATGAGTTCTATGAAGCCCTGGACAATGCTCTAAGGCGACGTTAAACATTACATTTGGACAGTAGTGTGTACAGGTGTGTTTAAAGGAAAGTGAGCTAATGCTGATCATTGGGAATGTTTAAATTCAAGTTAAAAATGCAGTTAAGGCTTGTTCTTTAAGTCAATAGAATCCCAGAGACTCAGCTGAACAGCTTCTTATAACGTTTGTAAGCCTGCAGTGCCACCTTGTGGTACTAAAGGGAACTATACCTCTGAATTCTATAGCTCAGGATGCACTTCACAATATGGTGTCATGAGATGTGCTGCTTAGATTAATAAAAGGCCTCCTGTTGGTTTAACAATAAACAACTAAAGCAGCTCCCTAACCACAATACATCAAAGATTGAACACAATTAATATTTATGCTCGGATGTGAAGGAAAATGTCATTTATATTCTGTGTTGGGAGACTTTGTTTGCATTAATAAGCACGGTGTATCGTGACATCCAGTTGGCCGTGCATACCGTTTTCAACAGATGTGAGTAATACCCTCGTGGCCCTCCTCCATCTATGTCAAGCCGAGTGAGATTCTCCTTTGTCTTATGATGAACAACAAGCCTTTTGTGGAAACATGAATAATGCCACCGCCACTCGCATTAGAACGGCTTTGAACGCAAAGTTGAGCCGTATCTCACACTATTTCAACGCTAATGAAGTTTGTCTAATATCTGTGGCTCTGTCAGAAGCTGCTTGTGAGCATTTACATAACAGATGCAACTTGTCACATGGAGACACTGGTGAGAAAAGGATAAAAAAAAAAAAAAAAGCGAGGTGTTAAAATTCTAACCTATGTGGCTGTAGAGAGAAGCAACTCAAAAATTCTCCCGCTGTCTTTGAGTCAACTTCATAACTGTAATATAGGTTTGAATCCTTTTTCCCATGAATCCTCAGAGCAGCGATGGGATTTGATTAGTAATTCCGTCGACTGTCTCCCAGTATTGATGGGCTCCATCTTCCTCTTTCACTGACTGGAGGTAACGCTGCATGGGTGAAAGAACCACATCCCACTCCTGCAGAATTGATTGCATGAAATATGATCCATGAATTACTCTGCACTTAGAGTATGTTGAAATGAGGGATAATATGGAATAATACGTCCCTATTGCAGGTTGGAAAGCTTAAAACATTAATTAGAATTTCAATAATTCACTCCTCAAGTCTCTTTAATAGCCCAACTAGGAATGTTCCAACTCTGATTCATTACAGCAGACCGAATGTGTTCTGATTAGAGCCGCGACGTAGAAAGTCACAGAAGAAACCATTTCCAAATGTGCTTTCCAATTAAGCGCCAAATATATCATGTGTATAGATAAGTTGCTTTTGACAATGAATTAGCACGTTTAATTGTAACATTCAATCACATTCGCTGGCGGAGATTTACCCCCGAGGAACACGCTGGCAAATTACCCAGAGAGGCCTATTTGTATTTGACCAAACTTTTTACTCATTATGTTTTGACAGGCACTGAAATATTCAATAACTGGGAGATTCATTTATAAATTAGCTAAATCATTGAGATGCTGATCTTCATTGTGATTTGCGGTGGGGGGGGGGGAGCACAATCTTGTGCGTCGGTGCAGTGCTTACAGGTGCAAAGGGTATGACTTGTGGCAAATAATTACCTTTTTCTATTTACTGATTACCCTCATATGCATATTCCCCGGAGTAACTGTATAATTAGATTGTTGCTTCAATATCAAGATGAAGAGACATCAGCCACTCCTTTCCTCTGGAGCGCAGATACAAATCTCTCTCTTCCCTTTCCTCTCTCTCTCTCTCTCTCTTTGTTTGGGTGTCTCCGTCAGCTGGTGAGGGACCTGCGAGAGGCCCAAACCCTCTGCCTGCCTCTTTTTTTTTTTTCCTTCTTTCACTTGCTCTTCTTTCACTCAGTAGCTCATCATCTTCCTCTCTCCTAATCGCATTGCTCATTTTCCATTGACAAGAGAGTGAGAGGAGAGAGAGAGAGAGAGAGGGGGAGGGGAATGGGGGGGGGGACAGCGCAAACTTTCTAAATCCCATTGACCTACTTCGCCAGACATTTCACTGGGAATTCATATTAGTCTAAAAGAGTTAGAAGAAGAAATGTTTTCTCATTTCCCACCACCCCCTCCTTCTCTTCTCCTCTTTCAGCTGGAAGCCATTTTCCTCACATCCTGTATTTGATCCACTACAGTACATTTTTTACAAGTGGATAAACGCCTTACCGTGGCATAACCAGCGGCTCTGTCACCACTTTTGACAGTGGCGTAAGAAGCGTGACATCGGAGCTATAAAAAGCGCTTTGGAAGACCTCGTCTTTGATTGACGAATTTGGCGGCGGAGACAAGATTGAGGGGGGGTTGGGGGGGGTGAATATTGCGAGGCCTTGAAGACAGAAAAGTGGAATTATGACAGACCCATACAGAGAGCTAAAGCAGGGGAGATGAAAAGAGAATAAAAAGAAGAAAAGGCAATTCAAATCTTTTTCTTTCAAGTCCCTCCCTCGGGGACTGCAGATGACCCCGCTAACGACTGTTGAAAATCCTACTCCCTTGAGTGTGATGGCGCGGCGTGATGGAAAGGGGGTTCGCAGACCTGCCTGAAAAATTGAAAGCTCCTAGAATATTCAGCTAACCCTATGTGCTCGGTTGGGGGGCACATGCAGAGATTGGTATTCAGGGTTGTGTGTGAGTGTGGTGGGTAAGCCCAGCAGTGGTGACAGCATAGAGAGAACCCCCCTGCGTGTGTGTGTGTGTGTGTGTGTGTGTGTGTGTGTGTGTGTGTGCCAATGAGCCGAGTGGCTGGTCTCAAGGGAACAGTAGAAGTAGTGCGAGTGAGTGAACATAGAGCGAGGAAAAGGGAAAGAGACAATTTATGGAACCTTTAGATCCGGAGTGAGTTTAACTGTGATGGCGGTGTAGTAACAAGGCCTGAATCCAAGAAGAGAGAGACTAATGACGTGGATATAACCTCATGCTCCCAATATGCAAACACGGTGTCATCGGCAAAGAAGGAGAGACGAATTCATCTGCTCGAAATCTCCTTAAAAACTTTGGAGACAGAAAAATGGTTACCTGTGGGTCTTACAGAAGTCGACTTACACTTAATGCAGCCTTTCATATTCTACTCCAGGGGCAATTCTGGTTTCATACAGCCTGATTTGTGGTTTCGTATTTTGAATCACTAGCATTAGCAACATTATAACTCAACAGGTTAAATGCTTAGGTTTGGAACATGCAGGAACGATGTCATAAAAATAGGAGATATTAAGAAAGCATTACCAGCAGTAATCATGGCCGAGGGGAAGCCAAATTGATTGGAGCAGTGAAATAAGTGAAGTGACAGTGTCTTTGGAAGAGAAATATAAAGGGCTAATGTGTGTAATACTACCCAACATTGTTTAAGATGTAAGAATTCATAGTTCATAGTTCAATACAATGGGGTTTAATGTAAAAAATAAAAGGTATGGTATTCCGTTAAGTGACTCTCTACTTCATGCTTGGGTTAGCCAACTTGAAAAAAACAAAACAAATGTGCAGTACATGCCACATTATCTGTACCCATTTACAGTTTTGAACGCACTACTTTCTTGGAGTTTTCTGGGGGGAAAAAATCAGCCTTTCAGGTATTTGGCGAAACAACAAGTGGTTCTCCCTTGGAAAAACTCCACAGCTCATCTTTGATTAACTGCAGGCGCCTTAGGTTCAGGCCATTTCAAGAGAGCGGACAGATAGGGCGCAGAGCAACAGTGCGCGTGGACTAATTAACTCTAAGTGTTGTACGACATGCTCCCTTCTCACCCGTGTTGTCACTCAGGGTTTGAGTGGCGCTAATGAGAGAATTATCTAGCCTCGGACCCTGGTAATGCATTCAAATGAACACCAGCTGACCTGACTTATGAGACGACTTTTTAATCTCACACTTAATACCAATCAAACTGCTTTCTCATGTGCCTACACTGGTAAGGGCCTCTGCTCCAAATGCTGCCATCAACCGTTTTTTTTTTTTCTTCTTCCGATGTTGATCTAAGGGAGAGTGTTAATTGTCTCACATGACTCAAGGGCCTCTGCTGATATTATGAAGAGAACCTCAGGTGTGTTGGATAAAACAGGTGAATATGGCTCCTAAAGAGTTTGCTGGGCATCAAAGTGAAAGTGTTTTGGTGTGTGTGCATGCTTGTGTATGTGTGTGTGGGTAAGCCCCTTATCATTAGAACCCAGTTGAGGATTAAGAAGGTTAATAAGGTCATGAATTTGCAACAAAAAAAAACTGACGTACAATGGAGCTTTGGCATTGTTGGATTAACATAATCATCATCCTTTAGTGTCCAAACTTGTGACTCTTTGTTGTGCTCACAGTATTTCCAGATGCAACACAAACCTCTGCAGGGGGTTTGTTGGGAGTATTTAATAATTACCTTTAGGTATTATAAAAATTATGCATTTAAACTTCAGTAGATAACCTGTGATCCAAATTGGATCAAGGTGTTTTCAGTGAGTTGTTCATGCAACCTTCACTGTGATGGTTGTCTCAGCTAGACTGATGCACAAAACGTGTGCACAACATGAGCAATAAGCCTTTTCAAGTGTTTGGGCTGTAGCCGTTTTTGTTTTGCCAAGTGCTCGAGGTAACAAAAAGCAGATCAGG